AAAAAAGTCTTCTCCAGAGCTGACCATGTGCAGGACTCTCCAGAACGAAAACACTACTCCTTATTTTAAAAAAATGTTCGTTGTTTTTCAATAAAAAAAACCTTTGCAACGTAAGAAAAAAAATTCCCTAAAACACATATAGACTTTTTTTAAATTTCTGAATTAAGAATAAAAAACTTCAGCTGTTCATTGTAGGCCCTTAAAAAAATTTTAAAAATAAGTCAATTTGAAAAAAATTGAGATTTTTTTTGTGTTTTTTTCATTCATTCACAGGATGAAGTCGTCGCTGGCTGGGCAGCTTTTATTGCCCGTCCCTAATTGCCCAGAGAGCAGTTAAGAGTCAACCACATCGCTATGGGTTTGGAATCACATGTAGGCCAGACCAGGTAAGGATGGCAGTTTCCTTGCCTAAAGGACATTAGTGAACCAGATGGGTTTTTCTGACAATCGACAATGGATTCATGATCATCATTGGACTCTTAATTCCAGATATTTATTGAATGCAAATTTCACCATCTGCCATGGTGGGATTCGAACCCAGGTCCCCAGGGCATTATCTGGGTCTCTGGATTAACAGTCCAGCGATAATATCACTAGGCCATCGCCTCCCCATTTTTAAATGTTAATAAAACAAAATGGAAAAAAATCCAATATTAGTAAACTATAATGACTATAAATAACTGTAAAACTGTAAAAAAAAAACTATAATAAACCTTTAACCAAGCCAGCAACCCCAGGAGCAGCTGCAAGATCCACACTGCTCCTCATCCAAGTCCAATGTTAGCATACGGACACAACAAATAATTTAGAAGCCAAATGAAATTTTGCCCTTTACGCAGTTAAAAAAAAAGAAAGGCTTTTTACAAATTTACAGCGTACTGGTGAGGCAATTTCCAGAGTGCTATGTACAGTTTTGTTCCCTGCATTTAAGAGACGATGTACTAACATTGGAGACGGTTCAAAAGAGATTCACTAGTCTGATTCCTGGGACGAAAGGGTTGACTTATGACGAATGGCTAACTAGGTTAGAACTTTATTCATTAGAATTCAGAAGAATGAGGATTGGTCGTATTGAAACATACAAGATTGTGAGGAAACTGAATAGAGTAGATGTTGAGAAGATCTCTCCCCCAATGGAGAATTTCAAACTAGAGGACATAGTCACAGAATAAGGAGATACACATTTAAAAGTGATTTCTTCTCCCAGACAACAGTGAATTCCTGGAAGTATCTACCCCAGAGAGTTGTGGAGGGTAGATCACTAAAAGTATTTAAAAATGAGATAGATAGATTTTTGAAATATAGGGGGGAATTGCAATGATGAATGGTATGAAAGAGGAATCGAGGCCAGAAATGGATCAGCGATGATCATATTGAAAGTGGCGCAGCCACCAGGGGCCAAATGCTTATTCCTCTTCTTATTTCATATGTTTGTGATGTTTCTATGTAAAATCAATGCCAATAGTGTAATGTCAATGTGATTTTGAAATGATATGATGGATTATTCCTACATTGGACATAAATATTAAAATGTTTTTCTGTTGCAAATATTAATAACATATCTTTGATTATCCAATTACCAGTGAGTTTAATTTTAATATTGCAATGACATAAATGTGGAGCCCATTCAGCTTGTTTTCAGAATTTAAACAGCTCCTCCTCTGTTTTCCCACATTGATCAACATTACTAATGCTGACAGTGCCACAAGTTATGCTCATGGCTATGGGTAAATTGAGAAATCCAAACCTCAAAAATGTGTCATTCCTATCTACTAAGAGGAATATCAGCATGCTATCATGCATTTTTTTTAAACTGTCCATGAAGACTTTTGAGTTTCAGCCTCATTCAAACTCAGAACATTTCAATAATTTAATAATTCAAGACTGGCTTGCTGAGCTCTTTTTATACCTCTGCAACCCAAGAAAATCCAAGTCAATAATTACATTCTTCTTAAAATTTTAATTCATAATGTAGTGAGTTAAAATAGACTTAATTCATACATCACACATAGCAGTTAAACTGTCAAATTTCTCCAAACTCAAATAGCAAAACTGCAGCTTAAATTAATTGCAGATTAAAGTTTAATTAAGATTCCATTCACTTAGACCATTTTACAGCTCTGGGGGGTGAATGTGCTATTACTTCAGCTCTTGGCTTGTCTTAAATGTGTTTGTTCTGATGGCATTCTCTATATAGTATGCTGGTAAAATTAGCAGCAAGTTAGCAAGAGTAAGATCAGTAAAATAGACTACAAGGTTGAATGGTATATCACCAAACTTTCTGTTGTAAGAAAATGCAAATTGTGATTCAAATCATTAAAGGAACAGGCAATTGAACACTGATCCTATGTTTGTGATTGTCATAAATTCTAAAACTTGAAAACACAAGCTTAAGCTTCAAAAAAGGAAGGTACACGAAAACTTTAGCTTGATATTTTCTTAGAATGCAAACTTGGCCAATACACAGGATTCCACCAAGTGGAGCATTGTATAAGATAATGGTTCTGAAAGAGTTAAGACTGAAGTTGCATGAGCTTCATCCAACCTAATGGGATCACATAATCTTTGGGTGAAGAAACAGCTAGCTTAGCACAAAGTCCCAATGGAAACATATTTATCATACCTGGCTCTTGATAGTGTAATCATGCCTAACTAGTTATGATGAATTATACATATTGACATCATGCTATATACATATACCTAACAATAATAATAAATTAAACTAATAAAGGAATATATGTAAAGTCAAACATGATTTTCATAGAACTAGCAGGTACAGGAGAAATATGGTACAGGTTAATATAAATCATAGCAATTTTATTTTAATACCTTATAGTTTAAATGTCAACTTGACTATTTGCTTTAATTCATCTCTAATTAAAAATGTAAATTATGTTAAACAGCAAATGTTCATTATAGATTTTATTTTTAAACATTCAGTACAATATAGAGAATTTTTAAGTATAACAAAAATAGAACATATCAACTTTTGTAAATGTCTCTTAACATATTATTGTACAGGTTGCAAATATGAACAGAAACTTATTTTTAAATACACTTAATCACTCAATTTGCACAGCACAAGTGAGTAATATTTAAATTGTATGTTTAAATAAAAATGTATTTCCTTAAAGATCCATTTAAGTGTAATACCATGCCATTCTTGTTACATGAACAATCAAAAAGTTAATAATGACACTTAGCAAGTTCTTTCTTGTTGCTTAAAGCAATGTACCTGAGTCACAATTTTCAATGTAGACTCAAATCCCAGCAAGCATTAGACTTTGGAGAATTGGTAAAAATTGTTGATGATGACTGTGTTACAGTGATCACAGGTTTAGGAATCTACAAGTGTCTTTTGTGCATTAGTAATAATGGTAAATTCACAACGAAGTACAGCTTACTAAGAAAATAAGTCACATATGAGCAGACATTACTGATGAACAGCAATATCAGTGCACCCTATGATGTGAGCTCAATCCATCTAACTGTATAACAAAGTAGGAAAGTTTTTTGAAAAGACTTCTACTTTTGAATTGTGTTTGAATTACTTTTAGTTGTAATAAATTTAGGAGACAGTCATCAACTATAGGTACTTTCTTTATGAATGAAGGCACAGCCACTGCTAGTACCGGTCTTACATTTGATCCAACATTTGCAGTTATATTAGAGAGTAAATACTGTAACATGTCAGAAAATTATAGAAGTAGTCCCTTTTTTCTCAAAACATATTGTCTTACATTTTGATTAATGTGCTGACACTTTCAGATAAACTATAAAGAAATAGTTGATGCTTATATACATTGAAACCATTCATTGTATATGCTATGGCAGGTTCTTATTAGGCAGCAACATAACAAGATTTTAATAACACAAATAAACCTGGCTGACAATCTATTAATAAAGCAGGAGATAAATAGAAAATGAAAAATTTTAACATTTTTCATTCTTAAATAGAAATATCAGTTGCAGTCTTCTCTTTTCTAGTTTAGAAAAAATATATAATTATAGTGTTACAATATTGGTCAGTTTTGGTCTTACACATTGATTATCTAGCCATATCTGTGGGAGTTTGCTGTTCTTATGGGTTCATATAACTATCCTTTCATTCTTCACTGAAAAGATTTCAATACAGCTGGGGTCCCTTTGTAAAATGGCTGGGAATTTTTCATTGAACAAATTGCTAGTGTCTTGCTCTCTTTACACTGCAAGGGAAGTTGTTACAGCATTTAAACACAAAATATGACCACTTGTTTCATGAAAAATTCATTATCTCAAAATATTGAAGGTCTGATTCAAAAAAATCAATTACTTGCTACGTATTATATGGGCCAACAGGAAACATTGACTAGCTGGTTGGTGGTTTTGAATGGACAGAACTTTCCTAAACCATGCCTTGTGCTGCATTTCCTGCATTAATAGTCTCACATCTTTTTAATAATTTTACACGCAAGCATAAAAATCATGTCAACAATATGCTTATTAAACTAAATAGATAATAGATGTTGCCTATGGCTAAACATGATGATAATCAATCTCCTAAGATGGATCCTCATAGTTTATTCGATTGTTTCACTTAAAGACAGTGTAATAAACTGTAAAAAAATCATTCTTTATATTGATTATTGAGTCTGTTAAGAAATTCAAGCAAAAGGTTATGAGAACAAACAGCATTATTCAGCTGTGACATCAATGCTAGTCTGAGCTCATATCCACAATATTTTGTTGCAAATCAATGTTAACCTTTACCACGTTGAATAAACAAAAACTTCACAAATCACAATAATAACAGAATCAAATTCTTAAGCATTTTAAACAGTGAAAACAGAAATCAATTTGAAGCAATTCAGTTTGCTGTATAAAATAAAATATTGGATAGGAAATATATATGGTATACACTGCATTGTATTTGTGAATATAGTACCTTCTATTCATATATACTGTACAGTTCAATGTGCATTTCAAGTGATGAATGCGTTATTCAGTAACTCCTTCCTACAATCCTGTGCGCAGACAGTTCTGTTGATGATTTTTTATGAAGATCTGAAAAGAAGACTATCGGCGTGCAGTCAAATGGTTCTTCATTGCCCATGGATAACTGTAATTCCTACAACAAAAATATTGAGACAATTGCTGCAGATCTAGCAGAAAGACGGAACAAACACAAAGTTGCTGGAAAAGCTCAGCAGGTCTGGCAGCATCTGTGAAGGAAAAAACAGAGTAAACGTTTTGGGTCTGGTGACCCTTCCTCAGATCTCCAGATGATGGGTTGTTATCACTAATGTTTCATAGAATCTTAAATGGTTGCAGAACAGAAGGAGGCCAACTGACCATCAGAACTGTGTTAGCTTCAGGTAATTCTTAACTCTTCTGCCAAAGAACAGTTTCTTATTATCCACTGTGTCCAAATTTTAAAATCTTCATTAAATCTCCTTTTAATATGCTCTTCCCAAACAGAACAGGCCAATTCTATCCGTGTAGCAGAAGTTTTTAATCTCTGGGAACAACCATTCTTATGAATCTGTTCTACAACCTCTCTAATGCCTTCATAGCCTTCCTAATGTATGCATCCAGAACTGGGCACAATATGCCAGTTGAGGTTGATGAAACCAGGTTTCATCACAACCTCCTCGCATTTGTATTCTATGCCTCACATTCAATTAATGCATTCAGATACTTCTGTTCCTAAATACTTTTTGGATATGTGTACAGTCTATTTTATATTGTCTCTCTTTGTCCTTACTAAAATGCATTTGTCCAGGCTTTTCTGCAGTAAATTTCAGTTGTCATTTGTCAGCTCATTCCATTAACCGAGTTAATTCCTCTTAAAGTTTTTCACTATTCTCCTCACAATTCACAGCACTTTCAAATTTTGTGTCATTCACAAATTTTGAAATGGCGCCCTGTACCTGCAAGAACAGGTCATTACTGCAGACCAAGAAAATTAACGATCCTAACACTCAACTCTAGGGAACTTCAACACGTACCTTCCTCCATTCTGGAAACAACCATTAACTATTAGTCTTTGTTTCTTGTCACACAGCCAATTTCATATCCATGCTGTCACTTTCCCTTTCCGTTCCATAAGCTTATCCATTATTGTTAAGACATTTAATGACACACTCTGTCTTGAGCACGCGCGCGCGCACGCGTACATATAGATCAATGGAGTGAATTTGCATTCTTTTTTGTTCGAAAAGCACACAATTTGGGGACAGTCAGTCAATGGGGCATTTTATAAAATCCTGCTTTGGAAATAAAACCAGTCTGTCTCCAAGTTAAAACACAGCCAGATTCTAAACAAGGTCTCACTCCTAACGTGCATTGTCTGACCTGAGACATCACCTCTTGTATACACTGATAAAACCTTTTGTTATCTCAGGGCAGTGACTTGAAAGAAATTTGGAGATTTGCATTTTAATCAATAAAATCATGCACCTCCTTTCTAACTGATTAAAGATTTAACAGGAGGGAGTCAGCCAGTCATTTTAGGTTTATTCAATACATTCACATCAGTTTTATGCTTGTTTGATCTTTTACTTATAAATTTTGTGTCTTGATACCTCCTCTCTCACTACATCAGAGGAAGGAGCAACGCTTCGAAAGTTAGTGTTTTCAATTAAACCTGTTGGACTATAACCTGTAGTAATGCGGTTTTTGATTTTGTCCAACCCAGTCCAACACCGGCACCTCCACATGCAATTTTGTTCCTCTATACCTTTCCCACTGGATGATGGTCAATAGAATACACCCAGCAGTGTAATGGTAAATCTATCATTTGTTAGCCCTAACCAAATAAATTCTGTCCTTGACCTCTCTAGTACATCCATTCTCTTCAGCATGATAATGCTCTCCTTAATCAGTACTGTTAACCTTTTTTTTTCTTATTTTTCCTTAGCAGCTTGTATTCAGTATATTTAGTATCCAGTCCTGATCTTTATAGTTGCAAGAGAAAACCAGGCACTATATGTATTTAATCTTTACAAACAATTAAAAAATTCTTTGAAACAGATGGATACTAATGTCAGAACTGTCCAATGGTGCTATTGCAATGAACTTTGGTGTCTTTTTTGTCTAATCATGAATTTAAATAACAATATAATCCAGAGGTGTAATAATACATCTCCATACTATCTAAACTGGATATTTCACCCTGCACATTTGTCCTCTCAGGTATTTTTCTGTTCATTTCGTAAGTGAACTGACTAATACATTGTGAAATGAAACTGGTACATAATGTAAGCTGCTTAATTTACATCAAGTGGTATACAGAATAAAAGCTGTAACAAACTCTCAATTACTTCATCTTTAATTTCATCTTCAAGAAAAGAAAAATTAGCAACCCTTACTGGTTGTACTTTTGTTCTATTCTCATGTTTGGATGATGCTGGTACAGCTGCATTTGTTGACTATCCCTAGTTGCATTGCAAATGTTCTCCTTAAATGATCAAAGCCCTTGTTGTGATTCTGCTGTCACAGTGATGCTAATAAGGAAAGTTTTAGCTAATGAACCAGCAATTATAAATGGAACAAGTATAAAAATGTAAGCGAGTATTGTACGTAACCAGAAAGGGAGCTTGGAGGTGCTTGTTCTCCTACACGCTTGCTATAATCATAGTGTTCTAAAATATAGAGAGGGTGCAGCTACTGTTGAGACCTTAGTGAGTTACTGCAATGCCTTGTTATATGAATATACAAACAAGGAGCAGGAATGGCCTCTTTGGCTTTTCCATCCCGCTAACCATTTAATTAGATCATGATCTAATTAATTAGATCTTATTGTATCCTCAAGTCCACATTTCTCCCTACTTTGATAATCTTTCAATCTCTTGCTTAACAAGAATCAATTCAAATCCATCTTTAAAATATTTAAAGCTTTTGCTTCTATCACCTTTTTCAGGAAGAAAGTTCTAAAGATGCACAATCCTCTGAGAAAAGATGTCACCTAATTTCTTTTTATAATTTGGTGATGTCTTATTTTGAAACAGTGACCCAAAGTTCTAGATTGTCCTCAAATGAGGAAACATTCTGTCCACGTCTATCATTTTAAGACTCCTCAAGATCTTAAATGTTTCAATCAAGTCACCTCTTGTTCTTCTAAACTCCAGCAGATATAAACATAGTTTGTCCAGCCTTGCCTCATAAGACAATACACATATTTCAGGTATTAGTGCAGTAAACTTTTTTCTGAACTGCATTTAGTATATTGACATTGCCTTAAATATTTTTAAAAAGTGATCAATACTGTACACAGTGCTCCAGATGTGGTCTTAGCGTGACCTGTACAACTGAAGTGTTATTTCCCTACTTTTGTATTGAATTTCCTTTGCAATATGTAACATTCCATTGGTTTCCCTTATTACTTGCTGCACCAGCATACTAGCCTGTTGCTATTCTTGCAGGAGGACCCAGATACATTTGCAACTCCGAGCTCTGCAATTTTTTACCATTCAGATAACATGCTTCTTTTTTATTATTCCGGCCAAAATGGATACTTCCACATTTTCCCAAGATACTCCGCTTACCAGATATTCGTCCTCACTTAACTTTTCAATATCTCTTTGTAACCACTTTATGTCCTCTTCACAATTTATGCTTTTATCTAACTTTAAGTCGTCAGAAAATTTGGTAACCACATATTCCATCCCTTAATCAAAGCAGAACTATTTGATCCCTTGAGCCCACTCTGCCATTCAATAAGATCATGCCGATCTGTTTATGTTTTGAATTCCACATTTTTATCTACCTCCAAATAACTAATGATTCACCTGCCTAACAAGAATCTACCTGCCTTTACCTAAAAATGTTTAATCATTGCTTTCTGAGATGGCGACTTCTAAAGTCAAAGTTTCAAAGAAACTCCCTTCATTCCTGTCCTACAGGGATGATCCCTAATTTTTAAATGGTGGCTCCTAGTTCTGAATAAACCAACAAAAGGAAACATCTTTCCCATATTCCACCTTGTCAAGACTGTTCAGGATCTTACATACTTCAATCAAGTACTTCATTCATCACTCTTCTGAACAATGGAAGCAAGCCCAGTGTGCCCAACCTTCCCACATAAGACAGGTGTCAATCTAGTAAAATTCATTGAACACATTTACATTGGTCTTTAAATAAGAAAACCAAAACTCTAGATGTGGTCTCACTAATGCTCTATATAACTGAAGGATAACATTGTTACTTTTATAAAAGCAAAATACTATAAATACTAGAGATGAGAAATAAAAGCAGAAACTGCAAGAGAAACTCAGCAGGCCTGTGAAGAGTAAACAGGGTTAATGTTTTGATTTCAGAGCAATTCGGAAGAAAACTTATTGGACTCAAAAACCTTAACTTTGTTTCTTTTTCTAAAGACACTGCCAGACCTGCTGCGTTCTCTAGTACTTTCTGTTTTATCTTTAATGTTCAATTCCTTGTATAATAAAGAATAACATCCTATTAGCCTTCCTAATTACTTGCTTTACCTGCATATTAAATTTTGTGACTCATGAACTAGAAAACCTAGATTTCTCTGCAGCTTCGAATTCTGCATTCATTTTCATTTAAGCAATACGTTGCTGTTTTATCTTTCCTGGCAAAGCTAATAACTTCTCATTTTCTCACATTATACTCCATCTCCCAGATTTTTGACCACTTATTCAATCTATTTACATGCATCTGTATTTTCTTCATGTTGACTTTGCTACCTGTGTTATCTGCAAATTTGACCACTGTGCCTTCGTTTCCCTCATCTAAGTCATTGTTTTAAATTGTAAAAAGCCGAGACCTAAGCAGAGATTCCATTCATCACATCCTGTCAATTTTTAAAAATTCATTTATTAATACTCTACTTTTTATATTGTTGGCTCCAATCATTAATAGGCAGGATTTCCAAATAATACGGAGCAGTTTTGATTGAACACCTTAAGAGTTTGACTCCATGAATGCATTTTTTTAAAAACAGGTTCCATGAAGCCAGCCTGATCCAAGTCAGGAGAGAAACACTGCAAACCAGGCTGCAGTGGAGATTTTGAAAGGCTATGGGACAGTGTGGTTGAGGGGTCGGGGGAGACATTTGAGGGAAATACGGGATAGTTGGAGAGAGACTGGGAGATAAGGACAGAGACTGAATGCAGAGAGAGGGTTACAAGAAGAGTCACGTATCCTGGGCAAGAGGGTCAGTAATTGGTCGGGGAATGAATGAGTTCAGGGAATGAGGAGTTAGTACACAAAGCGAGGAAAAGGTTGTTGCACAATGACGTCAGTGGTGGCTATTGTCGGGGAGCGGAGCACAAGGAGGTGCAGGGCAGGGTCTTGGATGGAGAGTGATATAATCAATAGACAAATTAACAGGCTTGTTCTGGACAGGAGATTGCACTTTTTATCTTCCCAGTATTCTCTTTAATGCTGCCATCCTTATATCCTTGTAAGATCCTTGCTTCCAAAGTCCTGGGAATACCACCTAGCCGATGTGAAACCATAAAACAAACAAAATCTGAATTAGGCAGCCTCATTAAAATGCTTAAATGAATGCTTCCTGCGGGCAGATTATTATCCAGCTCTCATCTGACTTCCATTAAAACCAGAAGTGGTTAGATTTGAGGTAGGATGGGTTCAAGTTTTACATTTTTGTTAACATATTTAGTTCCTACTTGATCCAAAGCCACTCACTTTATTGAGTACAAATATCTCCTTTATGGATAAACTGACCTGTTAACAGTGTTCAGGATATCGTAATAACCACTTTCAATCAGAACTTCTTCAATCATGGTCTATATACGAAACAAACAGAAAACATATAAACAAACAAATTATATGTTAACTACTTGTCTTTCAATAATGTATATTATATGTGAGTGTATTTATAGGTTAAATATTTGTAACAATATTTTTTACTTAAATTCATAATGAACATTGTAGAACTAGGAGAACTGAACAGAAATTAGCTTAATTTAAGATTTTGAAACAAAACAAACGAAGTGTAGTGTGGTAACCTTTTAAAGGTTTAACTGTTTTTACATATAAAGATAAATATAATTTAGCATGTATATGATGAAACGCTAACCTGCATCTGCTCATACGTTATTCCATCTTCATATTCATAGCTATATGTATTGACTAGAAAGAATAACAATAATTGTTAAACATTATGGAACTAAAATATACATTGGTTAATGGAAGAGATATACTAGTTGCTGGCCCACTATTGCATAACTATTTAAAGTTCTACATGAAAGATTAATATCTAGCTTTGTTTTAATTGCCTCAGAAACAATATGGAGGAGTAGATCACCTCCCCTTTGTGGAATTAATTTGATCTTCATTTCATTGTTTAAAGATGAGTGCCACAGCAGGTGGGCAATACATTATCTGCAATACCACCACCTTGGCAATTATTTTGAAATCTTTGCTAAAGACTTTGCATCATTGCTGTATGCTAGTCCTATATACCTCTTGCTACGAAACTTGCTTATTTCATGCACTGGTGTTCATGTGAAGTTATAGTCTCATATACTTCTGAAAAGCATTTATTCTATGATATCAATCTTGATTTGGTGATATCATCTGGCCTCTGAGCCAGAAAGTTGTGGGCACTGATTCTGACTTTGAGACTTAAGCACAAAGTCTGGGCCAACATTCTAACGCACCACTGAGGGAGCAGAGCACTCTCTGAAATGCCAATTCTAAGTTAAACGGAGACAACATCTGCTCTATGAAATAGACAAAAAAGATCCTATATTCACTTCCCATGATCTAGGTGCAAAGACCACAGGCTGAATCTGATGGTTATTCAGCTAAGTGTGAGTCAGGTTGTGATTGGTGGAGTGACTCATGTCACAAGGCTGGCGAGTTTTCTCACCATATCTTATCAAACTCTCTGTGTTAATTGTTGTTTCAACCTTATGATGACTACCACTTCTGATTTCTGGCCCATCTTGCCACGCACCAATCCATGAGCGACTCACCACTCACCAGCAATCCTGGAACCCCTGGCACCAGCATGATATTTAAGTCTTCTGTGCACCAGGACAAGCACTGCCAGACTGCACTGCCCTGCATGGTCCCAGACATGGCAGACAGGGGGAAATTAGCAGCCTGGGTTACGGGAATAGTCCTAGAGTTCCTGCTGTTTTGGGTGGTGCACAGGTGGGACTTCCTCTTTCCTAGGATCAGTGCAGGAGGCTGCACTATCAGATCACGCCAACGAGTTCCAAGGTTGCCACCCATATTGAAGCAGTTTCAGCATAAGTGCCACGATCTTCACTCTGATACCTCACATTCACCCTGTCTTTGTTCATACACCCACTCTATCACTCTCATAATTGCACACAATATCTTCCCCACACAACCTTACCTGCCCCAAATTGTGACACTGCTCATCCTGCATGTGCTCTGTGCTGCTTACTCACTCAGGAAACCCTCCCACCTGTACCAACAGTAGTACCTGTGCTATTCATTTTCATCTTCTGTAATAGCTGCCTCACTCTTACTTCAGGAGCTGAACATCCCACACTAAAGCAGAAAGTATCAAAGCAGATGGTGGGCTGCCTGCCATTCGATTTTTCACTCGGTATGAGGAAAGGATCCTGATTTTGACCAACCGAGGAGGACCTTGACTGGCATCAGAGGCTGTCCTTGACTTACAGTGCCAGGATCACCTAGGTGAAGGCTGTATCCCTTGACTTGACTGAGACCTGCTGACAACCATGGCAAGTTTCCTGGTTTTGTGCCCATGATAAGTGGCATGGCAATACGGCAGTAATATAAGCTAGGTGTCTCCAGTTGAGGGTAAATATTCAAAAAGGCAATGAAGAGAAGCTGTGAGCATCCAGGAAGGCTCAGACTGATCAGCACAATGATGCAGCCTGGTTCAATCCATGAGAGCAGGGAAAGAAGTTGACTGGTGAGCAGGAGTGGAGAACATTTCTAATCTTTAAACTAAAAGTAAGATCTTACTTCACTAAGTTTATATTTAGGTCTTAAGTTTCTTTTCTTCACTCTTTAAAAAAAACTGGTTAAGTATAAGATTGAGACTGTTTTTAATAACAAAAATTAATTTCAGTGAAGCGTGAACAGGAGGGAATCAAAGGTAATTAATTAATTAAATAAGTCAAATGTGATAGTGATGGCAGGATGGGCAATGTGTTTGCTCCTGCAACATGTGGAAACTACTGAACACCAAGGTGACCCAGAGCAAACACATCTATGGTAAGTGTTTGCAGCTTGAGGAACTTCGGATCCAAATTGAGGAGCTGGAGTCCAAGCTGCACACATTGCGCCACACCGGAGAAGGGGAAAGTTACCTTAACACTTTGCTCCAGGTGGAAGTCACACCCCTCAGACTGGGTAACTCACATTTGATCTGTGATTAGGGATAGGAGAGTGTGATTGCACACTGTGGCCGTAGGGAGCTTGATTTGAAAATCCTGGGCCCCTGCAATTGTCCAATAGTTACAAGGTTCCAGCAAGCTACAAGAACAGACCATGGCACGACAGTACAGGGAGTCATTCAAGTCGGGGGAGGAAATGTGAATGTAGCAGTCATAGGAGACAGTATAAATAGGGGAATAGACACTGTTTTCTGTAGTCACGAGTGGGAGTCCCAAAGGCTGTGTTCCCTGCCTAGTGCCAGGCTTAAGGACATCTCCTTGGGGCTGGAGAAGAACTTGGAGCGACAGGCAAGAGATCCAATTGTCATTATCTATATTAGTAATAATAACATTGATTGGGCTAGAAAGGTCATTCTGCACAAAAAATTTGAACAGTTAGGAGCTAAATTAGCAATCAGAACCTCCAAGGTAGTAATCTAGATTACTATCTGAGACATAGTCATACTGGGAAAGGGTAAATGAAATCAAGCAGTTAAATGTTCAAAGTTTGGTGTGGATGGAATGGTTTTCAGTTCAAGGGGTCCTGTTACAAGTTTTGGGTGTAGCTGTTCGGTCAGATGTGCTTCATTTGAATAGTAGGAACATTGGAACCAGTGTCTTGTCAAATTGAATGACAAGGGCTGTCAAGAGGGCTTAAAACATTTAGAGAGTGCGGGAGGTCTTGGGAGAGGGGAAATGTAGGTTTTAAGGTAAATTGATATGGTCACATTAAAGGTCAGCTATTGGATACTGACAGGAAGGGACAGATTACACAAACCTGAAAAATTGCAGCAGTGTCAAAGTGGTAAAAAATGATAAAAAGGCAAAATGAGTAGTGCTTTATTTGAATGTACATAGTATATAGTACAAATTAAATTAACTAACAGCACACATAGAAGTTAATGGGTATGAATTTACAGCCATTACAGAATCTTGGTTATAAGGAGATCAAAGCTAGGAATTAAATATTCAGGGATATGTGATTTTTCAACAGGACAGACAGGAAGGAAGTGCTGGTGCGATAGCATTGTTAGAATGGGATAGAATAAATATGATAGCAAGAAATGATTTGGATTGGAAGATGTAGATATGATTGGAGGTAAGAAATAACAAGGGGAAGAAGATGCTGGTGGGAGTAGTAGAGAGGACTGTAACAGTAGTTAGACAGTAGAACAGTGAATATATCAGATAATAATGAGGGCATATAAAAAAGGCAGTATTATTCATGGGTGACTTTAGTCTTTATGTGGATTGGGAAAGTCAAATTGGCAGAGGCAGCTATGAGGAAGCATTCATGGAATGTATTCAGGACAATTTCCTGGAATAATATGTTATGGATTCAATCAGGGATGAGGCTATTTTGGATCTTCTGATATACAATGAGGCAGGGTTAATGAATGACCTCAGAGTTAAAGAATTTCTCAGAAATAGTGACCATAACATTTTAGAATTTAGCATTCGGTTTGAGAGAGAGAAACTTGGGTCAGAAACAATGGTGCCAACCATAAGGGTAATTACATAGGGATGAGGGAAGATCTAGCTGTGGTAGACTGAGAAAGGGGTTTAGCAGACAAGATAGTTGAAGCAGAATGGCAAATGATTAAGAACATAGTTCATGGCTCACAAGAGATAAGTCAACCATGGTTAATCAGGGAAGTTAAGGATAGCATTAAATTGAAAGCAAAAATACACAATGTGGCAAAGATTAGCAGTAAGCAAGACTATTGGGAAAATTTTATGATCAACAAAAGCTGACCCAAAGAAAATAAATATGGAGAAAATAAACTTTGAGGGTAAATTTGCAAGTAATATCAAGACAGACAGCAAAGCTTCTTTAAACATATAAAAAGAAAAAGAGAGGCCACAATGATCATAGGCCCCTCAAAGAACGAGGCTGTGGAAATAATAATGAAAGGGAACAAGAAAATGGAAGCAGAGTCTGCACAGTAGAGCACACTAATAGCATTCCAAATATAATAAATAATAGAGAGGTAAAACAGAGACAGGAAATAAATACACGTTATTAGAGAAACAGTACAAGGAAACTAATGGGGCTAAAGTCCAAAAAGTCTCCTGAACCTGACAGGATGAACCTAGGATATCAAAGGAAGTAGGTACAGTGATAGTGGATGCACTGGTAGTAACGTTCCAAGAAGACTTACATCTAGGAAGATGGCGTAGGATTGGAAAATGCTGGTCACAGGCCCCCAGTCTGAAAAGCAACCCTCCAACACCACACACTGTCTTCTACCTCTCATCCAGTTCTGTATCCAGATAGCTTGTTCTCCCTCTATTCCGCGTGATATAAACTTGCTAATCAGTCTACTATGTGGAATCTTGTCAAACACCTTACTGGAGTACATATAGATTATGCTCACCACTCTTCCCCCATCAATCCTCTTTGCTACTTCTCCAAAAATCTCAATTCCCTCCAACAACTTGCACACCACTGATGTCAGGCTCACCAAGTCTATAGTTCTCGGTCTTTTCCTTATAATCTTTCTTAAAAAGTGGCACCGCGTTAGCCAACCTCCAGTCGTCCAGCACCTCACCTGTGGCTATCAATTATACAAATATCTCAGCAAGGGGCCCAGCAATCACTTCCCTAGCTTCCCACAGACTTCTAGGGTACACCTGATTATGTCCTGGGGATTTATCCACCTTTACGCATTTTAAGACATCCAGCACCTCCTCCTCTGTAATATGGACATTTTTCAAGATTTCACTATTTATTTCCTTACATTCTGTATCTTCCATATCCTTCTCCACAGCAAACACTGATACAAAATACTCCCCCATCTATTGTGGTTCCACACATAGGCGGCCTTGCTGATCTTTAAGGGACCCTATTCTCTCCCTAGTTGCTCTTTTGTCCTTAATGTATTTGTAGAATCCCTCTGGATTCTCCTCAACCCTATTTGCCAAAGCTATCTCATGTCCCCTTTTTGCCCTCCTGATTTCCCTCTTATTATCGGAGAAGATACTTAGGGATGGGATTTACATACATTTGGAAAAGAATGGACTTATTAGGGATAGTCAACGTGGCTTTCGGCTGGGGAGCTCTTGTGTCACAAATTTTATTGAGTTTTTTGAGGAAGTGATGAAAGTGATCGATGAGGGTAGGACAGCGGATGTTGTCTACATGAACTTTACTAAAACATTTGACAAGGTTCCTCATGGTAAGCAGGTCCAGAAGGTTAAGTCCCATGAGATCCACGATGAGTTGGTAAATTGGATACAAAACTGGTTTGGTCATAGAAAACTGGATCTCATTGTGGCGGGGTGTTTGTCTGCCTGGAGGTCTGTGACCAGTGAGCGCAAGGATCAATGCTGGGAATCTGTTGTTTGTAATATGTATATAGATGATTTGGATAAAAATGTGGGTGGTCTGATTAGTAAGTCTGCAGATGATATGAAAATTGGTGGAGTTGTGGATAATGAGGAACTTTGTCAAAGGATACAACAGGATATAGATCAATTGGAAGGTTGAGCAGAGAAATGGCAGATAGTGTTTAATCCAGACAAGCGTCAGGTGATGCAATTTGGGAGGTCAAATGCAAGAGAAAAGTATACTATAAATGGCAGGTCCTTTAGAAGCATTGATATATGGAGGGATCTTGGGATGCAAGTCCATAACTCTCTGGCAATACAAGTGTATAAGATAGTAAAGAAGGAATACTTTGTGTGGAGCTGGAGGAACACAGCAGGATAGGTACCATCAGAGGAGCAGGAAAGTTGACGTTTTGGGTCTGGATCCTTCTTCAGAAGACATTTCAGAGATAACAAACTGTGTTATCTCTGACTCCAGCATCTGCAGTTCTTACTATCCCAAAGAAGGTATACTTGCCTTCATCGGTCAGGGCATTAAGTATAAAAGTTGGAAAGTCATGTTGCAGCTGTATAAAACTTTAGTTATATGACATTTGGAGTATTGTGTGCATGCTAGAGAAAGAATGTGAAGGCTTTGGAGAGGTGTAAAAGAGGTTTACCAGATCTTGCCTGGATTGGAGCATTTTAGCTCTCAGGAGAAGTTAGCCAAACTTGGATTACTTTTGTTGGAGGGTTGGAGGCTGAGAGGTGACCTGATAGATGTACAGGTATTGCTGCTATAATGTGTGTTTTGTTAACACGAATCAGCTGTAACGTGATTGATGAATAGTGGATGCTGTTTGGATAATGCAAAATTTCTGCTGTACAGGTAGTGTGATTTTCTATAGCGATTTCCCTACAATGTAATTTTCTATGGTGATTTTCTATAGCACGAGGTCACACAAGAACGCAACTATTGCATTATAGGAGAATTACCTGTATATAAAAATATGAAAGGCATAGATAGGATGGATGGTTGGAGATTTCTTTCCAGGTTGGAAATGTCAAATACTAGAGGCCATAGGTTTAAGGTGAGAGGGGAATGTTTAAAGGAGATATGCGAGGCAAGTTTTTTTACACAAAGGGTGGTGGGTGCCTGGAACATGCTGCCAGGGGAGATGGTAGAGCAAATAGAATAGCAACATTTAAGGGGCATTTAGACACTTATATAAACAGGCATGGAATAGGGGGATATGGACCATGTGCAGGCAGATAGAATCAGTTTAGAAAGGCATCATGGTCAGCACAGACATGATGGGCCAAAGGGTCTGTTCCTGTGCTGTACTGCCTGATGTCCTATGTTCTATAAATGCTACAACAATGAGTGATTTGGGAGTCATCATGCAAAAATCACAAAAACTGGCATACAAGTTCAGTAGGTAATAGGGAAGGCAAATGGAATGTTGGTCTTTATTTTGAAAAGAATGGAGGATACAAATATGAAAGTCTTTCTAAAACTGTACAAGGTACTAGTCAGACTACATCTGGAATACTGTGAATTATTCTGGGTCCCATATCTAAGGAAAAAATGTATTCACATTGGGAGGGCAGTTCAGAGAAGGTTTACTAGGATGATTCATGATATGGAGGGAATGTCTTATGAGGAAAGATTGAGTAGATTGGGCCTGTACTCATTGGATTTAGAAGAATGAGAGTGACCTAATGGAAATATTCAAGAATCTTAGGGTGCTTAACAAAATAGATGTGAAGCAATTGTTTCCCCTTGAGGGAAAGTATAGGAGCAAAGGGCATAATTTTAGAGTAAGGAGTCACCCAGTCATGACAGAAAGCAGACCCTGAGTTAAATGAGTCACCATAGGCAGCTCACACGGAAGTTGAGCTACAGGAGTTCTGGAATGCTAGTTCATGAAGAACAGAATTCTTATTAGAATGTGGAGACACCCTCACACAACTGCGGATGAAGATTGTTCATTAGGTAGTGGTACCACCCAGATATTGTAAGAAGATATTGCAAGTAGCACATGAAATTCTTATTTAAGATTATTTAATCATTATTACTATTTGTGAGACCTCACTATGCATAAATTGGCTTTTGTGTTTCCTATAAGGCAACAGTGACTACAATTCAAATGTACTTTATCAGTTATAATGTGCTTTGGCACAATATGACATAATGAAAGGCACTATATAAACTCAAGTCTTTCTTTCTTACCCGTATAGGTAATAGGCCATATTAGATATTGTGAATAAACATTTAGCAACCAGGATTGTTCGTGGCTATAAGATCTTCTAAGAGAGTAGGAATGCACACAATCCTGTAATGCCTCACTGGGTTACCATGCTGAAAGTAAAGCCCCACTATTCCTGGAACCATCATAAAATTAAAAATGTTATCAAAGTACACAAAGGCAACCAGTCTGATAGACTCAGGTTAACAGAAAACAAGGACTAGGTTTCTGTACTTAACAAGAACTACTACTTATTACAAATAAATAGATTCAAACTACAAGTAAACAATTATGAACTATTAACATATAATTCCACCAGTTAAAATTCTAATCCCTTTCTAAAGCTCTGTACACATACATACAGGAGTTACAATGGAAGGGGAGAAAAAGTACTGGAGAGATAGTTCAGTGATATTAGTCCCCAGGATTTAATGGAGGGGTTCCTTTTGTTTCCCAAATCCTTCAGTTCTCTGAGCTTTATTTTCAGGTTTTTTCATTTCTTCACAGGAGGCACAGAGCAGATGGTTCACAAATTATGAAATCTCTGACTTATTGATTAAAACCAATATCTTACAACAACTCGTGGGAGAAAACAACTGGCTTTCTTTAGCATTAGGTATTTTACTGGTGAGAGAGACAAACACACCACTTACCCTTCCAGAGGTCTGAGGGCTTCCCAGTGAATCATTCATATCCACAAGTAATTCACAATGATAACCTTTGATATCCACAACTGGTCAAAATTCCACAAACGAATCAACTACTTGCTGTTAGATGAATTTCACTTTGTATACATGCCCCGGTGCCAGGCCATCTAGTTACACCAGCCTTACTGCTTGTACAGCATCAGTAGAAACATGAATTACAATGAGTTTCAGTAATTTGCTTTTTCTAAAAATAAAGCAATTCCTTCTTTTGTAAAACTGTCCTTTCTCTAATTCGGTCCACAACCAAAACTAAAGTAAATTAAAAGACAAGGTCTTCTGTAATCATACATTTTTTTAAGAGCAGAAATAACCATACTTGTATATCTATGAATTATTCAATACAGTAAACTGATCACTCTTATTCTAAACAGTTAAAATAAAACATGGGGCTGAATTTTACCAGTACCCAAATGGCTGGGAAAATAATGGGGAGCCATATTGGGAAAATTCTCCAACACATTCCCATCACCAGAAAACTTTTCCAAAGGCAGGCAGGAAAGCTGATTGTCATTACCTGCCCTATCTCCAGGGAATGCTGCATTTTCTCTTGAGGTTTGTCGCATTAAATTACAATCCGCTGTCACAAAGTTCAGTTCAATCAGTTCAGGGGACCCTTGAAGGACCTATCAAAAAGAATACTTTAAGAATATGCAATAAATCTGCTTTCAGCCTGGTTCTGACAGTCACATTTGCTGCATAGTACCTCAAAGGAGTATGAAAAAATGCAATATAGAACAAATTGTCCCTTTGATAAATTATTTAATATTTGCAATCTACACTTTACTATGTTTCTACAATGTACTAATTCAATATTATTTGGAATTAGAGGAAGAAAAGGCATTGAATATTTAAATACAGTAAATTATTATACAATAGTTCAGATTCTGGATTAAACTTGGATTTAAATATTTGCACATTAGTTATTTCAGATGTTTGTTTCTTTCATGAACTTTCATGAATATATGAACTTTAATATATTTGTATCAAAATATGTTAACTGTGTTATGGCAACAAACCTTTTTAAGCTCTGCTTTCAAGTTGCAGGGATTGCTCTGTGGACTGAATAATGACTTTTTAAACCTTTCAATAACACTTTTTCGAAAGTTGTGATGTAAAGTAGGTGGAAGCTGTGAGGAATGAAGAGAGAATTACTTTAATAATGAAATCTTCTTATAATTTATATCTATTTTAGGGAGACAATAATACAGTTTATCAATATGGGATTCTTACGATAAATCACTTAGTAATTTTATTATATTACAATGCACAATATATGTGGCCTTATTATACAAATCCTGAATGCCCAAATTGAATGCATCCTAAATTTCAAAACAAAATATTAATGCAGAAATGTCAAAACCATGTCATTTGGAAAAGCAGACTACTAAAAATTGTTCCATACTTATTTTCACTTGTGTCCAGCATTGGGGAAGTTCAGTAACAGTACAAAACATTCACAAACTACTCTCATGTTCTCTTATCTCCTGGTAAATTATTTTTTGAAAACACTACTTAACATGACATGAGTGCAACTGAGTGATGCAACGGGGTTAAGATACGGGTCTTTTCAAATCAGACTGCTGCCATCATTGCTGCAGATACCTGTGTTCAAGAGACCTTCAGCAGATCTAGCAGATCTAGCAGCTCAGTGCAAACCGAGGAACAACACTTCATTTTTCACTTAAGCACTTTACAGACTCTAGGACTCAACACTGAGTTCCACTACTTCAGAGCATGTTCTCTGACCTCTGTTTTTCTTACATCCTTCTCACCCTCCCTCAGCTATGTCTTAGTGTCTTGTTGTCTTTGCTCTTAGCAGTGCAGATCCATTTTCTCATTTTCACATTTTCATTTACACCATTTTATATCTGTATCTCTACTTCCCCACCATTGGCACCCTCTTTATCTTTTGTTCTGGGCACCCTCACAATTTGTTCCACCCACTTCTCCTCCCACTCTGTCAGTAGCGTAACAAACCACTACTTTCCAGCCTCTTTCAATTCTGAAGAACTTACATCGGACTCGAAACGTTCGGGAGAACGAATGGAAATGGGAATTCTATTCAAAGTGCTTCCACTGCTGACTTTTACTGCTGTGAAACTTATAGAATACTGAGAGGCCTAGATAGAGCAGACAACGGGAAGATATTTCCACTAGTAGGAGAGTCTAGGACCCAACGCCACAGTCTCAGAGTGAAGTGACGGTCATTTAGAATGGAGATGAGCCAGAGGGTAGCTAATCTGTGGAACTCATTGCCATAGAGGACTGTTGAGGCCAAATCATTGAGATAGATGGGTTCTTGATTAGTAAGGGAGTCAAAGGTTATGGGGAGGAGGCAGGAGAACAGGGTTGAGAAACAAATCAGCCATGTTTGAATGGTGGAGCAGATTTGATGGGTTGAGTGGCGTAATTCTGCTCCTATATCTCATGGTCTTATGGACTCCTTCCCAACACCATCTCACCCCTGTTATGCTGCTGTATCCTGGCAGATGACCAGGCCTATCCCAGTAAAGGTGCAGGTGGGGCCATTTTTGATGGGGCCCTTAACTATTCCCAAACCCAGCAAACCTTCGCCAAGTGCATCTGAACAGTCAGAGCCGGAAACAGGCAGCTCTGTCATGGCAGAAGAGAATTGACAAAAGGGAGAAGAGGAATTTGTAGCTGTACAACTGTATTCATCTGAGGTGGGGGGATGTGGTGAGGGTAAGACTTCATCACATTTCAGTTTAATGTTTATGAACACTAAATACTACTTCAAATCTCTAATATTCTGCCCTCTCCATTGTAGTCTGCTGGCTTTCAAGTGGCCTAATGAGAAATGTTATGACAAGAATCATAGATTAGAAATGGAGTCTGTGAGAGGGATGGTTTGTTAATTAATAAACTGCTTTGTGCTGGAGGCTGTAAGGGGGTAGGGCGAGGTGGGCACACTGGCTTCAGAACTGGTGTGCTAGATGGCTGCACTGCCTCAGATTAGCTCCAGCAGATGAATTAGTCTGTCCTGTGCACGCCTGGCAGCTATGTAAGTGGCTGCATGTGCCCTTGGCACATCAGGCTGCTTGTCAACTGCTCCTCTGACTCTTCCAACTACTTATTTGAAGGTCTAGAGCATTAATCACATTCTTCCTCCTGGAGGTCTAGTCCTCACAACTCTAGTCCTTACAAAGAGGATAGAAGCATTGTGGTAATACTGTACGAATAGTGTGTAAACCAGGACTAATTTTTCAGAGACACAGATTCAAATCCCACCACAGTAGCTTGTGGAATATACATTAAATTAATTAAGACATCTGGAATAAAATACTAATCTCATTAACAATGATCATGAAACTACTAGATTGTTTCAAAAACTCATCTGATTCATTGGTATCCTTTAGGGAAAATATGTTATCTGGCCTAATGTATAATTCAAATCCATCGTGATATAGTTGACTTGGAAATAGCTTAGTAAGCAACTGTTAGATAAAATTGCTCCAGAAAAAAGCATTGTCAGTGCCCTTAGATCATACAGAATGCAGCACTTCAAGAAGGTGACCCACCACCACAGTCTCAAGTGCAATTAAGAACATAAAACCCCGATTTCTTCACATATCTTGTGATTCCCTGTGAGGCCAAACATCTGCAACTCAATCTTAAATGTATTCAATGATGACATATTTACAATCCCCTGAGGTGGATAATTCCAAAGATTCACACACTTTGAATAATTTTATCTTTGTCTCAGTCCCGAATGATCTGCCCCTTAGCGTTAGACTGCATCTGTTCTAGATTCTCTGTTGAAATAAAAACCTCTCAGTGACTGCACTGTTGTGAACCCTTCGAAATTTTTATGTTTCAGTGAGAACATTCAGAACTTCTAAATTCCAAAGACTAGAGGCCCAATTTTCTCATCAAAGGGCAACCATTTCATCAGAGAGATCAACTTATTCATCTTCATTGATACGGTCCAATGCAAGCATATCCTTCTTTATATTGAGGCCAAAAGTACACACAGCATTCTGGGCATAGTTTCACAAAACTCCCATACAATCACAAAGAGACTTCCTTATTTTGAGCTCCTACCTCTTTGAAGTAAAGGGCAACATGCCATTTACCTTCCTAATTACTTGCTGTTACCTGCATGCTAACTTTTCTGTGTTCCTTATATGACTACATCCAAGTTACTCTGAACATCAACTTTCACAAGCTTCATACCTTTCAAACAAAATCATGCCAAAATAACCTTCTATCAGAATGGCCACTCACCATCGTTAATGAGAAAAGCAACCACACAGTCTCAAGAGTGCTGAAGGATATAGGCCTCATTCACACCCTTGCACATACAACAGTCTTCTGAACTTTTCTAACAAATAAATTCAATTTCCTTCAATTGGTAAATATTCTCAATCATAGAATTGAGCATGTTTACCTATTAACAACCAATAACTAAAACTCTGGAAAAGGAATCAGCCCTGAATTTATAACCTATTTTATCTAGCATTGTTCTAAATATGATCAATGCTGGTAACTTAGATAATGAAGTAGTCTGTGCTCCCAGCAAGACTTGGACAAAAATGCATGAAGATCTCAGGTTGACTGTATTCATTTTGAAAATGGAATCCATTTTGACTTATAAGTATTGCTGCATAATCTGAAAACCACTTGATTGCTACACGTGTATACTGTGATTGCCTGGACCTGTGGGAATCTAGTCAGAGTGCAGGTCCAAGGGCCCCTGTATTCTCACTGGCCTCATCAGCTGGGGAGTGCACATTAGGGCTGGCCTTGGGAAACACTGCATCAGTCACCAGGATGACGCAGAGACAGTAAGAACTGCCGATGCTGGAGTCAGAGATAACACAGTGTGGAGCTGGAGGAACACAGCAGGCCAGGCAGCATCAAAGGAGCAGGAAAGTTGACATTTCGGGTTGGGACCCTTTGTCCCAACCCGAAACGTCAACTTTCCTGCTCCTCTGTGTTACCACACTGTGTTACCAGGATGATGCACTTGTGTCAGCAGATTGTGAGATACAACAAATGTATCCTGTCAACCCCTGGAAGGAACCAGGAATCGAATTCTATGGATATCACAGGCAAATCTGGACCACTCGGCAGAAACTCTTCTTCCAGGAAGTGGCAAATGTCAGCAGGCATCTGATATTAAAGTCCGAGCTTCCTGAAATACTGGTGCTTAGTTGAAGAATCACAGAAATGTACAGTTCAGAAGAAGGCATTTTAATCCATTTTGTCTGCAGTGGCCAACAACAACTATCCTGCCCACTCACACTTCTCACCTTTTGATTCGTAGCCTTTGTCAGAAATTTAATCCCTTGTCTGCATACCTTATATTAGGGTCTCGCCTCTTATGAACTAGTGCTCTGTGCTTGTTTCCTCTTGGACAGTGGGAGTGATTGAGGAGGTTCCTGTTGGTGGTGTTGCTTATGCTCCTTATCTGAAATCTGCGGTAGATCTGCATCAGTGGTCCCATGCAGCTATGAAGGCCAACAACTGAGAAGTGCAGTCTTGGAAATTTCCTCAAGATGCAGTGAAAACATGCTCTCAGAATAACACCATTTGCTTTGGCTGGGAAGTAGCTGCCTTATCTTAATATTTAAAGACATTTCTGAATCCCCATAGATGTCTCACCCTGTGGTAAGTTCCCTGAAGCTTAGGAAACCTAAATGCTCCAAGTTAGTAACAGAATCCAGAGATAAAACTCCACTCAATGTCTGAAGGAATCGAGCTCTACTGTCCCAAGGCTTTCCTACACATTAGCAAGTACGCTTTCAATAGATGCAGAAGTTAGCTACTTCTCATTTACATCCAAACATGTTGGTTTCTGGTCTATTATACTGCCGCATGCACAGAAATCCATCCACCCAAGTGAGTAATTTTATCAACTGAGGTTAAGTACATACAGGTGGAGAGTATTTATTGGATGATTATCTGAGCATGTGAGATACTTAGTAATGTAGAGGTGAAATGAAATCAGAAAATATATTCCTGTAATGCTTCCTTTACCAACTGGCTACCAGTGGTATAACACTAAAATTCACTGCTTGCTTCTAAATTGGGTGGTTATTGAACTAGATTATATGGAGGTTGTGCTTTACTTTAAAAAAGGACACAATTTAAATACCATATTATTTAAAATTATACTAGAATACATTTTAATCATGGTGGCTTTGAAATTGTTGAATAATGAGAATATGATGAAGTATAAAATGATGCAACACTAACATCAGCAGACAATGCCATCTACACTCTTTGGATGCTTTGTACACAGTTACAAGCACCCAAGTGCCCAAGTGTTGAGGGTACATCTGTGAGACTGGGCCTACAGAAGATGATCTGCTAACAAGCTGTCAAGTAGTATGTACACAGTCTGACACACACTGACGGTCAATTTGGATTCTTATCTGGTGAAAACATGGACAAAAATGTTTAATTCTAGAGGTGAGGTGAGAGTAACTGCCCCTGATATCAAGATAGCTTTTCATCAAATGTGGCAGCAAGCAGCTCTAGTGAAACTAAGTTAATAAGACTCATGAGGAAAGCTCTTCACTGGGTAGCAACATATCCAACATAAAGGAGGATGATTGTGATTGCTAGAGACCAATAGTCCCAGGACATCACTACTGGAGTTTTTCAGGGTAGTGTCCTAGGCCCAACTATTTTTAGCTACTTCATCCATGACCTTTCCTCCATCATAAGGCGGGAAGTGGTGATTGCAACTGATGTTGCACATTGTTCAGTACTAGTTTCAGCTCCTAGATGTTGAGTTAGTCCTTGTTTGCATGCAGTTAAGACTTTCATAATATTCAGGTTGATAAATGGCAAACAACATTTAATTGCCAGGTAATGAACATCTCCAACAAAAGAGAACTCAAGAACCTATTTTTTACATTCAACGGCATTACCATTGCAGAATACCCCATTATCAACATCCTGGCAGTTACCATTGATCAGAAACTTAGCTTATCAATCCATGTAAATGGATGGGAACTATGCAATGGGCAACATGCCTCTTGATTCCCCAAAGCCTTTCTGCCATAAACAGTGCTCAAGTTAAGAGTGTAATGGAAAACTTTCCTGGATTAGTGCTGCTCCACCAAAACTCAAGAAACTGAGTACAAATGAGGAACAAGCGGCCTTCTTGATAAGTTTAATGTCTGCCAATCTAACTACTTATTCACAAATCCTCCATCACTGCAGTGTGTACCATCTACAAACTGCACTATAGGAACTCACCAACCCTCCTCCAATAATACCTTCCAAACAACAACCCTCCACCAACAACCTCCACCACCTAGAAAGTCAAGAGTTGTAGTTTCATGGGAAAACTACCACCTCCAAGCCATTCACTAGCCTAACTTGGAACAATGCCATCATTCTCTCACCATGATTACTTCGAAATCGTGGAATTCCCTTCCTAACAGCACTGTGGGTGCAGTATGATCATATGGACTGCAGAGATCCAAGACGATAGTTCACCACCACCTTCTCAAGAACAATTAGGGATGGGCAAAAAATGCCAGCTTTGTTAGTGATGTTCACGTCCCATGAATGAATTAAAAAAGGAAAGGAATAAATCAAATTGATATACCTGTGTAATATAGATGATTTTGTGCAGCTGAATGAGAATCTGTTGAATTGGGTCACTGATTTGGCGCACTTTCCGTTGAGACACTGCTATTCCAGCAGATGCTATGGATGAGAATGTTATAATTAGACAGGCTGCCCACTTAAACTTTCCTATTACAAACTACAATGGAAATATCATCAGGATAATAACTAGATGCAACTGTATTCGAGAATATGACATGACACAGGTACAGTGACTCTTAATTTAAAAGTATGGAAATTGAATTGCTTTACATTCCGAGGAGGTTTTGTTTTAAACTGTAATACTACCATGGCATTACTTTAAAACATTAGACTCTGTCCATGATGTTTCAGCTAAGCTATGATTTATGATCTAGCCATAACCATTGTGAATGGATTACTACTGAAAATTACAAAACAAGTCAACCAACATAAAAAAGGAGTTAAATGTATGAGTTTGTGATTGGAATTGCAGCCTTTTGCTGAACAAATATTTTTGAAGTTTGTCACAACCAACACATTATGTCTGGCAATTTCCCAAAAGCTGTTTTTTCTTAAACAGTACTGCATTGTTAGAATCTTTCCACTATAAATTGCATACATTGAATTGCTAACTTTAATTATGAGTATACCCAAGATAACATTCATTTGTTAGATTCAAACTCGGCTAGAATGAGACAGATTAAAAATTACAACAGTCAAATATTTTTGTTATTTGACTTGGAGTGAAGGAAGGCACAAATTGACCTCTTTATAAAATCTGGCCTTTTGGTCTAAAGCTATATCTCTCTTATCCCTGAATCGTACGTATTGAATCACAGTCTCCTTTTGAGGTTGTTCTTTTGCCGAAAATGGCAGCAGTGATAAATTTAACAGTAAAAAGTACACTTTGTTACTTACAATAAAATATGGTGGAAAACTACTCCCAGAAAAATAGTAATTGCCAATAATAGTCGTAAATGCTGGACTGCGCCAGTGCAACATTAACATACGGTAACATATAGTCCCAAACCACAGCATATTATAAAGGAAGTGCAAAATGTAATCTGAGTGATCTTTTCATGTAAAAAATGAACTTTGGTAAAGAAAATTAGGAATTCTACAACTGTAGCAAGTAGCCTTCCTCATTTGTTCACATTCTATACACAGGTAGGAAGAATAGTCCAAATATTCTGATCAGGTTCAGAAACCCTATTTCCAACTCTGGTTGGATTAAAAGTTACCCACTAACCTTTACATGTCTTCTGTCCTGGAGACTCCTAGACAGAACCTGTCCAGAAATCCAAAAATTCAGCAGTAAAGCAAATCTCTGTAGCAGTCATTGTGGCATGTTCTGAGATTTAATGTCCAGCAGCATAGTCAGCCACTTGACAGCGACTGTGAAAGAGTAAGTACGGTAAGTGAGTAAGTAAGGTAACTGAAGGTTAAGGTGGCAGTTGATTGAAGGGTGCTAGCTGGGTGAGATGGGAACTGCGTCAGGTGAGTGAGGTGGGTGGGGTACCAGGTAGTGGGGACTGAAAAGGGGTAAATTGGGTAGGGTTCCAGGGGCGGTTGCCAGGTGGCTGAAGTGGGTGGGGAGGCAGGTAGGGTGCCGGCTGGGTGGTTCACCAGTTAGTGAGGCTGGTAGGGTACCAGGCAGGAGGTGGGTTGGCTATCAGGTGGTTGGTTTGTCAATTCAGTGTGATGTCAGGTGGACAAGGTGGATAGGGTGCAGGTGGGTATGATTCCAAGTGGATGAAGTCCATAGCAGGCCTGGTGGATGGGGTGCCAAAGGGTAGAATTCCAGGTGGGCAGGATGCTAGGTAGGTGTATGAATGCTTAGGGTGGATAGGGAGATGGAGGGTTTCTGGGTCTGGTGGGGTGGGGAAGGGGATGTTGATTCTGACTATTGGGAAAAGGGCTGTTGGGTCAAGGACCATCAGAATGGCAGTTGAGTGAGGGTGTCGATTCTGAGAGTTGGACCAGGCCAGCGACATGGGGCCACAGTACGTGTGGCTGAGTCATGAGGTGGTTGTCAGGGCTCTCAGTTGGTGGGGTAGGTGGGAGGGTGTAGGTGGTGATTAGGGTGGCTGGGTGGGGGGAGCGGGGTTGGGGGTTGCCTTTGGTGGTTCAGTTTAATAATTACCCAGGAGTTACAGCATATTTTAGATCCTCTAACTCTTCCTGGACTCTTTCACAGAGGATTGTTTTGCTGGGGTATTTCCCATTGGAAAATTCAATTTCGATGACAATTCCTATGGAGTCAGTTGTGTCAGGGACAGTTCATAGTCTCAATGTGCAGCCGCAGTCAATGCTGCTCCAATGTCTCTTGGCCATCAGGATATCTGGGCCAATGCAATTTCAGTAAAAATAATTGTAAGAGGTGAGCTGATATTTCTTCTATTTGATTGTATATATCTCAGACACACCAACTCATTTAGTTCGGTGGCGAGAAACTCTTACAAAAGGATTCTACAGTCATTCTACATCAGGAAAGCTCACAAGAACTAATCTTGATCAGGTGACATCAAATGGTAGCCACCTATAATGGTTCTTAACCCTGCTGATGTAGGTTCTGCAGATTTGCTTGATTCCACTGTGAAAATCTTTGGGTTTACAGTATACAGCCTGTCATCTAATGATGCCTGATGGATGATCAAGGTGATCACCTTGAACATCACTTTCAAACTGAAAACAATCAGACTCAAAGATCCAAATTGGGTGAAACCCTGTTCCTCTTAATATTACAAACTGCCTTATTGACCATGGAAAGCTCTTCAGTAACATAACCAATAAAAGCACTGTGTGTTCAATGAAACTTTTAGGAGACCTAAGAAAATAATTCCTCTTAATTTGAGAAAAAGCTGAAATGGTGAAAAGTATCACCTTCTTACTACTCCTGCCAGTGATGCATCAAATGAAACAAGCATTTGGGAGTAGCGCAGCAACAGGATTTTCCAATATTGAGCCTTGAAGCATTCTATTCAGTACTTCTTCTATCCTAACATTACTTTGCCAAGCATTACCCCACATTTTATCCTTAAGACAATTTCTTGGCCATTCTTAAGTTTCGTTCTGTTACTCAACAGCTTTAATTTTAATGAGTAACTTTTTGTCTATCGTTTCATTAAAGCTTTCCAATCTTTCCATATTATTTATTTGGTTTTTATAAGCTAATAGTAGAATCTAACAGCAATATTTGTCTTCAAATGTTCTTGACAGCCATCTTCAGTTTGTACAGATAATTCTTTTCTCTAGCATGTAATAATGTATAGAATACATTTTTAAAAAATCTTTGCTGCATATTTTCCCTTACTATTGTTTCCCTTGGTTATAATTTCACATAACTACCATGATCCTTCAGCCTTCGAAGCACTACATCTGGTAGACTATGGCATTGCCACCCTGAGCTTAAGGAATTTCCTGTTCTCTTCAAGCAAGCTCTGATTCCAACAGAAGGTAATGGCAGAAGTAAGCCTAGTTGTAGGAGATCTAAACAAACAAGACAAAGAAAAGACCGAAACATCATCTCAACAAGTGATTGTTGATAAATGTACATTTGGAGAGCAATTACTATGGCATCAAGCAATACTTAATTACCTGGTCGAGATTTGGTATTTGATCTTCTTGGCTTTCCTTCAGACCTGCAAAATAATGTGACAATCAAAACAGTTTCTACTTTACAACCTTATATGTGTGCTGATGTTTTGTTTGGAAATGCAAATATAATTTGTTGTCACTTAGTTGCAGCATGTCAATGGAAACAGTTAAAAATTTAGTGGACACATTTACCTAAACTCATAATTTACAAAAAGATACAGGGGAATAACACCATCTGCAAAATCCCCTCCAAGACCCTCACCATCCTGACTTGGAAAGTCATCACCATTTCCTCAGTATCGCTTGGTCAAAATCCTATACCTCCCTTCCTAATAGATCTGTAGGTGTCCCTCCACCAACTGGACTGCAGTAGTTCAAGAAGGATGCTCACTACCACCTTCCCAAGTGGAAAAAAAAAGGAATGGCAATAAACACTGGCCTAGCCAGTGGTGCCTAAATCCCATGATCAAACTAATAAAAAATGTTACTGGTCTACCTCCATGCTGCAAGAGGTAAAATTCACATACGGCGCTGACTAATGAGTCAGTTGCAAATGCAAGCTATCTTAAAATATATGTATTGCCCGAGAGCACTAAGTAAATGACAATATTATTTACTCTGATGTTATATTGAACACTAAAAGATGCTGCAAATACCAGGAAAGGAAACATTATTGTAGAAACAAAGGCAGTAGCCCTGCTGTTTAGGTAAATGAACCCTTGTAATGAACCTAATATTTACTTAAACCTGTCCATATTTTGGTGGTCATGGATAATGCTCCCATTATAGCAGGAAATCCTGAAAATGGTGCTAAAATAGCAGCATTGCACCCTGCTGAGAACCAACCAAAAATGGGTGGCAAATCATAGAAATATCTAGCTCCAAATTTCAGCTCCCAGGAGTTATTGGATAAAGAAGTTTTTTTTACAATTAACAGTGCTCCATATCCTTGGTGTGTGCAGCATCCTCCACAAACTCATTCAACAAAGAGATGATGTCTCAGGCCACAAAGAGATTCAGGAGTCAGAGGTCTTGGCTGATGAGTAAGGAAAAGGTGATGATCATGACAGGGGCCAGGCGATCAATGGGAAGAAGCCACAGTAAAAATCCAAATTAGTCAACTTGCCCAATTCTGGGCAGATTGAGATCCAAATACAAGCTTGCTTTAATGTATAGCTTCTGAAAGCCAGCTGGCTGAAAGCCCACTCTTTCCTTACTACAACTTTGATCATCGATTGAAAATCATTTCATTTTGCACTGTTCTATTAAACAAAGAGTACTTTTTAACTTGCAATGTACCTGTACTATGACCTTTAAGAAGCATTGAATTGCATGGATAAAGTAGCCGTTGCATTAATTGCGCACAACTTACCTGCACAACACTACACTGTCCTGTGATCATGGGCTCCTGGAGGAAAGCAAGATTATTGGTCAAGCCTCAGTCAAACAGGAGGCAGATTAGAGCACTTTGGAAGATGAATCCCAGTTCTCCTTTATCCTGCCTGATGCTACTAATTGCCTTATCCTCTTCTTATCCCTACAGTCCTAGGGAACAAGAAGTTTGAAGAATGCATCACTGCAATTCCTGAGCATCCTCGGTGATTGTGCTTCCACTGCTAAGGGCAAGTCAAATGTTCCCTCCCACCTCCCTGGGTGAATGAAGTCTTTCACATGTCAGTAGTTCATTGCCTACCTCTTACTCTGAGAATGTTTTGTGTGGCTATGAAGGTCCCAACAAGGGCAAATGTTTTTCCTTCCTGCACCCTGCAAACTAGGTACACATTTCTCTAGTATTCAGATAGACTCTCTTTGTGGTGCCTGCAACATAGTGAATCCAGGACCAGCTTTCTCACTCTGACTTCGTCGGACAAGGTTACTGTCCCTGAAATCAGTTTCATGAGCCTTGCCTGCAATCCCCAACTGCTAAGTCTATGCTTCAGTGGCTCACAAGAACATTAGGCACTTCCCATTGCCAATGATGTTAGACATTGAAAGGTTTGTTGATTGAAGATTAACATCATCTTCTGGTGGGGCAAGATACTCCATCCCATTCACTTTGGATAAACTTGACAGCACTCATTATACATTAAAGTTACAACAAATATTACAACAGTGTGAGATAGTAAGAACTGCAGATGCTGGAGTCAGAGAGCTCCCGACCCGAAACATCAACTTTCTTGCTCCCCTGATGCTGCCTGGCCTACTGTGTTCCTCCAGCTCCACACTATGTTATCTATTTACAACAGTGTGTGTTTGGAGTGCAAACTATGATACATTTAATTAACACCTGTGCCACCCATATGCTCTCAAATATCTACTATTTTCTTTGCCTCCCACTACATCTAGGTACTACTATCCAACATTCACAGGTAAGGTGGAGACAGCCTGCCTACTGCTACATCCTGGTGATTGACATGACTTTGGTATGCACCTTTAGTGGCCACGAGTCCTGGAGGGCCCCAGCCTGCTGAGGGACTTTGTCTATGTACAGCAGCACCCTCCTGAACCTGACCTACCGGAGGCAATGAGTTCACTGGTAGTGGGAGGTGGAAAGGCAGGACACTTCAAGGATGAAGTTTCAAGGATGCCTGGTTGGCACAGCTCCTCCATATGGATGCCCGCTGACACTTCCGTGTCTTTTTATGGGTACCTCCAGTAAGGTCAAGATACCTTGTTCCCCTCTCACCTTGCCATTGATGGTGTGCACCCGTGGCTACCGTGATGAATTGCAGGTTTGAGTGCACATCTGGCAGTACTGTATCTTCTGCTGGACCTGGGATGCTAAACTTTCCATAGAGGCTGGCAAGCACTTATTTTTCCTAAACCATGATTGTAGACCAAACTTAGGTGGCCTCCTATATCTTTCCTTCTGGTTTACCAAGGGTTTTTGCAGCACTGTCTGATGTTCCTCTGCCTTTCACACAAAGTACAGCATGTCTCATGCTCAAATAAGAGGCATGTTATGTACATGGAGATCAGCAGGTGCCCAACCTCAGCAGTCCTCCATGGATTAGAAACCTTGGGTGTTGCACCTTCTGGCAGCTGTGGACCTGTGCCAGTGATGTGCTCACCAGATTGTGACCCTGAACCTTCTCCGGATAGTGGACGCATTGAGGTGAATCTCTCTGCTATAGCGGAAGGCACAGGTTAATGCCATGCTAGTGCCTTCTCTGAGACTTGTGCTTCGTCCTCTCTGGTGGCTATTAATATTTGCAGTAGAGGAGGGAAAGAATCAGTTGCTGTTCATGCAGTTGCTTATGTAAACAAATATTTACAGGGCACATCTGAGAACAGCATAAAATGGGATACCTCACTAGCTTCTGGTGACATTCCTATCTCTCCATAGGTGCAGGTCAGTCATGGATCCTTCCCTGCCAACTTTGAAGTACCCTTCTTGAAAGGTGTGAGGATGCAAAAAACAGCATCCTTCTGCTGGTCCAGGCCAGCTCCCTTTTGTTGAGACTGATCTAAACCTGCAAGCAAAGATAAAGAAGGACCAAGTGTGACTGCAATAGGTGCATAAGTATTTGATGGTTACACATAGCCATGCCAGGTCCTGAGCTGTCCTTAGCAAGTGATTAAGAAATGCATTGCCCGGCAACTGTTAGAACATTGACAGCATGAGATAGCTGTCAGACATTCAGTGCTTATGAACCATGTGCTCTGAGACTTGCAAACAAGTGTCCTCCGTGATGTGACTGTGCACTGTCACAGTCAGACTGACTGATGTCCCTATGAATGTGGTTTTGTATTGAGAAGTTAGAGCCAATTAAACTTACTCAGCATCAGGGATCATTCATCCCCTTCTTGCACTGGATCCAAGTTCTTTTGTACAGGTTCTGGTTGGTGACCTGTACTATGATCTCACTCTAGTTTCCCAGGCATGGTAGGGGTCTTTCCCTCCATTATCATTTGAGAAGAGGATCTCTCTTCTTTTTCATTGGACAGTCTGGAGCAGAATATTGTGTGAGGAATCTTTGAAAAGCTGAGCCAGTTTCTGCTTGGTGTTAGACATCTCTTGGGCTGGGGGGCAGGGTTGTTGGAGTGACCAACACACACTAAACGACGCTGCAGCCTTGTTGCATTGCCTTCAATTATGGGGCCCAGACTTTCAATCCTGGAAGGGTCCAGTCAGGCAATAAGAACTTTGAGCTCACCCACCCTGTAAGATTGCCCAATCAAATTATATAACAACTTGCATGCTTAAATAATGAACTGAAAACAATGATCGTACAAGAAAACCCATCGCTGCCCCAAGAAGAAGTGAACTGCTAATTGGCTCAACACGCCATACTTAGATTTCACATTGGAAGACTCTGCCTCCAAAGTTCTTACTGGTTTGAAGATCAGTTAAAGGTTAAAGAGACAGAGATGTGGGAGAACGTGACAAGATTTAAACAAGACGATTTAAATGAGGCATTGTGGGGCTCTGTGCCAATAGAATAATCTATAAATTTTGGTTAATGACTAAGCTTATATTTTCTATGTAAGATGTTACTAAGATGTGAAAACATATTGTGGCTGTGCTGGATGTTACAAGGTGTTTCAGGAACGTGGTTGATAGTAACAAAGTTACAAGACAGCTTTAAAGGCCAAGAAAATGACTTACTAACGTTGCACTGATATCTACTTAAGACTGAAATGTTGATTTAAGATAGCTTACACAAGATAAGGAGACTGCCAGTATGCAGAATACTTACTCAACTTGGTATTGACTCTCAGTGCCAATAGAACTGATACTTCTTGGTAGAGTAGCTGCAGGAAAAAACAATTTCATTTTTTTACGCAAGTAATATTCTATTTTACCCTAGAGAGTGTTTTAAACTATACAGGGCAGGATTGTTTTAATTAATATGTGCATATAAAGATTATAAATCCATTTTTAGGAAGTTGCATGATTTCAAAAAAGGCCCAATAATTTTCATTATAAAAATAAAGAATCCAAAGGCAGTCTGCTGAATGATTTGTGTTTTCATATATGTTTTATTGCTAAATCAATGTGGCTATTATCTTGCCCACTGTTCGGGAAGAATATGCAAACTCCACACAGACAGTCACCAGAGACTGGAATTGAATGCAGGTCCCTGGTGCTGTGAGGCAGCAGTGCTAAGCACTGAGCCACCATGTTGCCCCATTGTTGTTGGACTGTTGTTGTTAGGCATGTACATTCCAAAGTCTGAGTGCTATGTGGATAGTTCTAGTATAGGGGAAATCACGGATAGATGCTAGAAATGGGAGCAAAGACTTGGACGGGGAAGGTATTCTTTGAAACCCACAAGAAGGCTCATTTAAAAAAAACAATGGCATGGGGGTGACTGAATTAGGTGGGAAGTGAAATTTCAAATTTCAGATGGTGAATTGAGATGCTAAATCAGTGACAAATTTCCAATGTGTCAGGCTTCAGACCATCCTATTGGAGCTGGTACATGTAATATATTTGTATAGCATGAATTGGCATAAAACAGGGTTTTAGTAAAGTTCTGCCTTCAAGAGAAAGTCAATGGCACATGAGAAAGTAATTGTAGGTGGTTCTGTAGGCAGCAGATTCTTCAAGCTGGTGGCACTGGCAAGGCAACATCTGCAGCCGAAGTTGGACTCATGGCCTGTGGCCAGCCTGGCTTGATAGCGGAGTTAGGGACTCTCGGTTGCAGGGCAAGTGTGGGTTTGGTGGCGCAAGCAAAGCAGGCCCAGTGGTGAAGACATGGCGCCTAAAGTGGGCGACTCCTACATTGATGGGTCCGACGCAGGCAGCGGCAAGATGGTGGTGGTCTCCCTTGAGGCTAGGTGCCAACATGGACCGGGTTGGAAAGACTGATATTCTGAACTTTTTACTTCTTTATTTTTCTGATTTATTCCTAAGACCCATAACGCTGGACTATTTATTTCTTTACTTTCCTAACATTTTTTTATTTCCTAAGAATTTGATCTTAAGAATCTGTGCCCAGGTACCTTTGTACCTAAGATGGCACTGTAATGCAGCGACTGGAAACTTTTCACGGTACTCACTTGAGTACACATCACAATAAAGCTAATTCAATTCAATTCATATCTGTTTATAGTGTGGCGTAACAGTCAGTTTTGTGCAGTTGTGTATCAGATCAGTGTTTTTTCTTGTTGAAGTCTATGACACAAGGCTAATAAGAGGAGAATGACAGTGTTCATGGAAGTTTGGGATCAGCACAGGCAAATCAGCAGTAAGGTTGGTGATGATGCGGTGTGGAGTGGCTTCAGAAGCAACAAAGAGTGGAAGAAAGATCCAAGGGAAGACAAAAGTTACAGTCAGAGGCATGAAACAGTTAAATGGAAAGGGCCTGGCATCCTTGTTGCGGTGGGGTCAGTCAGTCAAGTTAAGAAAATGAAGAACCTAAAGTGTCAATACTGAGAGCTCATACCTGTGTTGATTGGCACAGGCCTTAAAGGCCTCTGTGTTTACCTGCAACATTGCAACCCTGATAACAGTGAGCTTGAACAATGTCCTTTCCAAACACACAGATGGGAGGGTCAGCTTAGCCTGCAAGTTCAGCTACGTCCCACAGAACAGTGAGTACAACAGTGGACACCAACATTCAATAAAGAGTGAAGAAAAGAAAATACAACATTGTTTCTTCTGCAATAACAGCAAAGTCCCTTACTTTCATTTAAGTATTAAAACATTATAAGAAAAGAATTGCACCTGTTATATCAAGGCAGCCAGGGCTTTCAAGGGAATATGACTGTAGACTGTTGCTGAGGTGTGCAGCCTCTGTTCCGGACAGTGACTGAGGTAATTGTCCCTGAATAAAGAAGCTAGAGGAAGAACTATGACCTGTTAAAAAAAAAACTATCATAACATTGAGGACTTGATTAACAATTCCCAACTGAATCAAGTAACTAATCAGATATTTTCACATGATTTATGAGAAAGAAATTCAAATACCTACATATTTATTTGACAGTATATTGTATTGATGTTGTTACATGCTTCAGTATCTCAGCCGAGTGGTTACTTTTAAATTTTATTGCTGGCATGACTCAGGACATAAGCAAGGAGATATTAAAACAAAATCTCATTCTCTGCTTAACTAATTTTCACACAAGTGCACTTTTTGGCAATGCACATTGCATATCAAATACAAACGACAATGCCAAGTCATGTTAGTCTCATAGAAAAGAGAAGTGAGAAGATACAATAACACAATGACATCGTCTTCAAAATTGGGAAAGTCAGGTAATTTATCCCTCTTTACACTGCAAAACTCAAAAGTTTTTTTGCCCCCTGCTGCCAATTTAGCTAACGAACATGATGGATTAAGAATCAAATCAGGGAATTTCTCATCTGTATTCGCCTCTTACATAAGAACATACGAAATAGGAGCAGCAGTCGGCTATCTGGCCCATCAAGCCTGCTCCGCCATTCAATAAGATCATGGTTGATCTTTTTGTTTCAGCTCCACCTACCTGCCCACGCACTATAATCCTTAATCCCTAACTGTTCAAAAATCTATTTATCCTTGCCTTAAAAACATTCAATGAGGAAGCCTCAGCTGCTCCACTGGGCAGGAAATTCCACAGATTCACAACCCTTTAGGTGAAGAAGTTCCTCCTCAAACAGTCCTAAATTTGCTCCCCCTTGTTTTGAGGCTATGCCTCCTAGTTCTAGTTTCACCCACCAGTGGAAACAATCTCCCTGCTTCTATCTTATTCCCTTCATAATTTTGTATGTTATTATAAGATTCTGCCTCATTCTTCCAAATTCCAATGTGTGTAGCCCCAGTCTACGCAATCTCTCCTCATAAGGCAACCCTCACAATTCTGGAATCAACCTAGTGAACCTCCTCTGCATCTCCTCCAGTGCCAGTACATCCTTTCTTAAGTAAAGAGACAAAAATTGTACATAATACTCCAGATGTGGCCTCACTAGCACCTCATACAACCGCATCATAACATCCCTTTTTAAACTCCATCGCTCTAGCAATGAAGGAAAAAATTCCATTAATTACCTGCTGCACCTGCAAACTAACTTTTTGTGATTCCTGCACAGGACACCAGGTCCCTCTGTACAGCAGCATGCTGCAATCACCAGATCATCAGCGGTACTTAGTTTTGCCTAATTGTACATTCAACAAAGCTGGTCAAGTGAAACTCCACATCGTTTGGAGTTGCTGTCCCAATGGCGAGCTTACTTTAGTTGTGACATTTCCAATAGTAGGCTTATTCATGTCCTGAGATTCCATGTGTATAGCAGTATGTAACTGAAGTCAATTCACAATATTAGAAAGGAAAAAAAAACTCTAAAAACACTAAAAAATGAATAGAACTTTATGACTGAAAGATCGACTTATAGATCTTCTCTGAATGCTCAGCCAGTTTATTCAACGTGTGGCTGAATGCACAGGAAAACCCGGGCTCATTCCGTAGTGTGTGAGAGTTAATTGATATTACTGGAGGCAGCAATAGTGGATTTTCAAATTATAGGTTAGAGAGAGGAAAGGGGAAATGCTGGACTCATACTTTATTCTTTCATGTAACAACCGGTCCTGGAAGTGTGAGAGTGCGAATGTTCAACGGCAACAGGAACAGGCTTAGCTCCAGTGTTCCAACAAACAATAGGTATATATCTGGCAAATCTCACTGCTTACTACCCCGATGTGGACAATAGTCATTTGGTTGGGCTAATAAAGAGTATCTGAAATCATGTAAAGTTATATCAAAGTTTTAAGGCTAGAAGGAAGACCAAAATGTGAGCACTGTGGCTCAGTGGTTAGTACTACTGCCTCACAGCACCAGGGACCTGGGTTCATTTCCACCCTTGGGCAACTGTCTGTGTGGAGTTTGCACATTCTCCTCATGTCTGCGTGGGTTTCCTCTGGGTGCTCTGGTTTCCTCCCATAGTCCAAAGAAAGTGCAGGCTCGGCGGATTGGCCATGCTAAATTGCCTGTAGTGTTCAGAGATGTGTAGATTAAGTAGGTTATAGGGGGATGGGTCTGGGTGGGATGCTCTGAGGGTTGGTGTGGACTTGTTGGGCCGATGGGCCTGTTTCCACACTGTAGGGATTCTATAATTCTATGAAAATGTTTTAAAATACATATCCATTAGTCATTTTACTATCAATAATTGAACTAAAGAAAATCATACCTCTATAGTTAACATTTCAATTGGACTGCTGTTAGTTCCAAGTTTATATACATCAAGCAATTGAAAAGTACTGATTTAGTACTTCAATACCTAATTATTCAACATTGCTTTGATGTATGATTCTTTTCCCCTATATTTTGATGTCTCTCAAATATATTCAAAATGGTGCAGCTGAAGTCCATCAAAGAATTGATTCAAAGAGTGTGATTACCTTTGCACAGAAAGCAGCATAGTAATGAAATTTTGAAACTAAATTTAAAGTGTCTGTGGTATCTGTCGGTGAAGGTTTGGAGGACAAATTTAGTTCAAAGAGGCTGACATGCTACTTTTGTCACAACAAGAGGCACATGAAGGCTGCTGAATGCTTGAAAAAACATCTGTCTAGTCAAGGTATATTTCCTCCAGGTGATAGTGTCCTGATTATTAAAATTCATGGCAAGATAGGAGTCACTGCTACAATCATTGAGAGAATGAATTGACAGCTGGAAAGCTACAGAAACGTTATTGCTCAAGGGTAAAGGGCCACCATGTTCATCTACTGAAGCAGGGAAACAATTATTATCCTTGTGTTAGTTATTGATGAAACATTGAAAACAATGCTAGGGTACAGGGCACTTTAGGTAAGGCAATGGTTCTGAAAGAGTTAATGTTGGATGCTGCATGAATCCCTACCCAATCTGACAATGCCAAACTGTCTCGGATGGAGCAAGGGAAAGTTTAGCTTGAGATCGAAATGGAGACAAATGTCACCATAATCTTGTTTATTATGTCTAACCAGCCAATATAACATATACACATTGCTATCAGGCATCACACACTTATCTCTTTCTTGTTAAGATAAGTACCTCTTCTTGTTAAGACTGACTAGTAACTTATAACTAATCTTGTTAAGACTCACTACCTCTGTTAACCGAATAGGCCCTTGGACTTGGTATTGAATGGAAGCTTCATTAAAAGAAAATAAAACAAAATTGCTTAATGGCATTGTTAAATCTTCGAAAGAACAGATTAAAACAGCATTGACTTATTTCAGGATTAAAAGCTTTAAATTCAGAAATATAGCACTATGTAGATACTGTAAGAAATTAAAACAGTTGAAAGGTAAGAAGACTATCTAATCACTCTGAGCAGAAAATGGCAGGAGAAATATTACTATCGCAAAGATTAAATATCAGAAATAGGCTAAGTAAAACTCAAGGTTGGATATCTTGGAGGAAACAACTCTTAAGATATAAAACTGCTTCAAAATTAAATACTAAGTATTAATCTGAAGAAGTAAATATACCCATTGTATTCAATACGACCTACAAATAAGAATGTTAAAAATCATTAAGATATAAAAGAAGAAGCATGTGCTTTTGATAATGCTCTAACAGCTTTTGATAATGACTTTAATCTGAGAATAAAGAATTTTTTCAAAATAATAAGATGCAGTAGAAGAATCTGGCATTCAGAGTAATAAATAATTGTGTTAATGATCTCCACAAACTAGTGGAAAACTGTAACTGTGGAGCACTGAAATCAGAAATTCTTTAGAAACAGAATTGTTGTTAGAATTAATAATGAACATTTGTCAGATCTATTACACTCCAAAGAATATTTGACTCCAGAGAAAGCTGTTAAAATTGTGTAGGAGCAGAAAGCAGGAACCTCCACAAATATATCCTGAGAGGAAACGGACAACCTTTTCATAATTGAGCAACAGAATCTATCCAATTCATAAGGTATAAATGCTCCAAACATACATGTGACAAGCCAATATAAATAGAGTCATAGAGATGAACAGCACGAAAACAGACCCTTCGGTCCAACTGGTTCATTCTGACAAGATATCCTATATAAATCTAGTCCCATTTGCCAGCATTTGGCCCATACCTATCTAAACACTTCTTATTCATATACCCATCCAGATGCCTTTTAAATGTTGTAATTGTACCAGCATGCACCACTTCCTCTGGCAGCTCATTCCATATACGCACCACCCTCTGTGTGAAAAAGTTGCCCCTTAGGTCCCTTTTATATCTC